CTACTCATCTCATATCTCTCAATCTAACTCTGCTTTCTCTCTCTCTCTTTGCCTCAAGTTTCTAAATCTCTTGCTTTCCCCAGAATCCCTGGAGCTTGCTCTAGGCCTCCAAAAACATCCTGCACTTCCTGTTTGAGCATTGTTAAAGGTTAAGGTGAGCTCTGGTCATCCTGTACAGTTGTTCTAACACCTCTGCCACCTGCTGATGCACTGCACTAGGCAGTGGAGAATCTTAGACTTGTTCTCTTTGGATCCTCTCTGCCAAGTGATTAGTTACCATTGTATTGTTAATTATTGTTCCTAATATAACTTTGGATTCTCCTCTGCCAGTTGTGTGACTAAGCTGCAACTTTCAAAGGTCACCTTTAGAGCATCAGTCATCTTGATCTCCACATCCAGGCATAGTTAGTTTGTGGATGGAGCAGACACTACAGCATATTAGCATAGTAGTCATCTTTCTCAGGCCAGAGGGCCACATAAGTGGATTGTTGAAGCCAGAGGGGAATTTTGTATATTTGGAGGGGTGCTTATGGATCCAGTCTCAGACTGGTCAATAAAGAGATCTGTATTAGCATTCTCTATAGACAGACATGCAGTCTGGTTAGCATCAAGCAACAGAAGCATACTCTCCACCTGTTTCTCAACTGAAAATCCTGCTTCAGGACTAGAGCAGAGGCATATTTGCAGTCTTCCTCTAGAGTTGGTGCATCAGGTGAGGGATCTCCAACAGCATCCTTAGCAGCTCAAAGAGGAGCTCTTCCTACTTTGTGGCTGAGAGGTAGCATACCTCCATACCCAGTGTACAGTGCTGAGAAAAGTGCCCCAGGCAATGCCAGCACAGCAAAGATAGTGGTTTGGGCTGCCAAGAGGCATCTATGTCTATTGGAACACTTGAATGCAAGGAGTGCATCACTGAGTGCACCAAAGATGCACAAACTAGCATTGGGAATGGTGAGAAGAATTGCTGGGGTGTTGCATGTGCTGGCCAATGGGCTACCTGAGCCTGGCACAGTGCACACTTGATCTCCATAGGCTGCTACTGATCCCAGGCCACCTTGTACTAGGTGGCAATCCTTTTATTGTCTGGGAACCTTTTGCCAGGTTATCAATGCACTCCATCAAGGTGGGGTAGAGGCTATTCCAAGAAGTGAAGCAGAGCTGTAGGCCATCTAGGTAGTCCGCTTGCTTGACTAGTGCCTGAAAGGAGTTGATGTACTCATTCAAGGTCCATTTCCTCTGCTCATATTTGTCTCAGTTTCTAGAAGGATAGCACAGCTGTTTTTGCAGAGTTGATTGAGAAGAAGTCAACCCAGAAGTCACTTTCAAAGGTGGCCCAGCTGGTGAAGCTGCTGACCCTTCCAGGGCATTAAAAAACACATAACACATAGGTGGAGGCCTGCCTGGCCTTTATATATAACAGCACCCATGCAATTTGTGGCATGTCAGAGTCAAAGGCATCTCTACTAAGGTGGATGTAGATGAGGTACAACTGTAAGAAGCATTCTCCAGTGGCATGATCACTGTCATACACATCAGAGAAAGCAGAACAGGAAATCTGGGCTTGTTAAGAGGTGCATTAGACTGGAGCTCCTGCTGGAGTTGTGTGGTATGGCTCCAGCTCTGGGACTTCTGCTGAGCAGGGTGCCAGAGGTAGGCACTCCAAGAGTGCCTGAAGGGATTGGGATATAGTGTCTGTTGTTTAGTGGAGAGTGGAGAGTTTGGTGATGTGATGGGTAAGGAAAGCTTGAGTAAGCTGCATCTGAGCCTCTAGGTGTAGCAAGTGAGTCCAGGCTTTGTTCTGAGGGGCTAGAACATCTGAGGGAGCCTTTGAACTGGCCAGCCAAGACATAGGAGCAATACAGTGGGTAAATGGTGGAGAAGCAACAAATAGGGGCCACAAAAATGCAGGCAGGCTATAGGGGGCTTTTATACAAGAGTTAAGAAACTTGTTCTGCTTTGAGGGTGACTTCCAGAGGCTGCAGCACAACAATGCAACTGGCAGAGGGGAATCCAAAGTTATATTAGAAGTGGTAACAACAGTACAGTAGTAACTAGTCACCTGGCAGAAGGGAATCCAAAGAGAACAAGTTTAAGAATCTCCACTGCTTGGTATAGTGCATCAGCAGACAGCAGAGGCATGAAAACAACTGTACAGGAGGATTAAAGCTAGCTTTACCCTTTGATGATGCCAAATGGGAAGTGCAGGATCTTCCAGAGGTTGCTTAAAAAGGAAATAACCTCTGGAGATCTCAAAAGGTCTAGAATGAGCCCTGATGGTCCTGGAAAATGGCGCAGAGGAGCAGAGCAAGATGGATGTTGATGTAAAACAAAATGGAGGTTCTCTGACAACTATATCACTTATAGGGTGATTTATCTCTTCCTGTGGAGTCTGAATTGTTGAAAAATCTTCTGGTGTCAAAGTGTGTTATCCAATAAATATCATCTCTTATATTTGTGTTCATCACTTTTGGATTTTTTGAATTAGGATCTATGGTGACAAGTGTTGTGGGACTTTATAGATGGACAATAGTCCATACCTTGACAAGGGAAAACAAGTTGATGGTCATAATCCAGTATGAAACTATTCCCTTGTTTTGTTAGAAAACTTGGTACACATTGCACAGATGTTGATGACATTAACATGGGGTCCAAGAAGGTTTCTAGCTGTTTGAATAACGTTTGGTGTATGTGCTGAAGTTAGAGAACCTTCTAGCAAGCCAAGGCATCATTAAGCAATCCTGGCAGCTGAACACCTATACCTCACTCAAACTGATGAACTATATGATCTTGGCAACCTTTCCAGTATATCTCATACTTGTATATAATCAGCTCCTTTGTAGCATAACAATGAATATAACACATCTTTTTAATATTCCAACTGCTGATGATTGATCATCTTTGGATTTTCCTGACAATGTATCTGTCAAATGACACTAAATATAGTATCTGCTTTCTGATTTCTTCAATCCTTGTTCAGAATTGAAAAAGGTAGGGCCTAAGCTTAAATAGAAAAACCACTCACTAAGTGTATCTATTGTCAGTGAAAGTCTTTTCCTAACTCATGTCCGTTTTTTACCTAGAGGTGAGTGGTCAAAGTGGAAGTTCTGTACTAAACTGATACACTTCCTGCCACATCTCTCAGTTTCTGATGTGACCTGTTAGTCACAACTGTTTAAATTCCTTCATTGGTCATGTGAAAACTATGTTTTAATTGCTATGAAACTCCAAGGCTTCCCATTGTGGGAAAAATTGAATGGATAATGTGAGAGTTGAACTCATGCCTTCACGCAATACTAAATGAAAATGCGAAGCGTACACACTACCAACTGTGCCAAATGCCCAGTGACAATTGTTGCACTGGTATGGTGTTAGATGAGTCAATAATGTTGAGAGGGAAGACAAAAACTCTGAGGAAAACACCTGGAACAACTAATTCTTGGACTTGAAGCCCAGCTGCCTTGCAATGTTCAACATGAGGTACAAAGTGAATCATAATACCTACAGGACACAAGGAATGTTGGCAAAAGACAAAAATAGTTGACTGCTTATGAGGATGAGATTGTCAAGATTAAATCAATCACGGCAACTGCCCTCATGCCGGTGCTCAGCTATCTCAGTCTAGTCTTGGTTATGTGCTGTCACGTCCTAGTATTCTTCATCAGAATCATCCATGCCATCAAACACAACTTCTTCAGCATCTTGGTCCTCGATGATGTTAGCACCAAGGCAATTTCCATCCTTCATTCCTGCTCAATCATATGACAATTTTGCTCCCCAATAAGGCTTCGTGTGCCAGACAGCATCAAGGTATTTGCCATGTTGTGAATGCTCTGTCAACATATCCTTGTGTGCTAGAAAATTAGAGTAAGAAACTTCACCAATGACATTGTACACCTTTTTTGAGCATCCCGTGATGGATATTTCATAACATGGGTAAGAATGAGCTTGAGGCATTTTCCGCAATGTTTGCTGGAGTTCGAGGAAGAAAGTTTCAACTAGAGCATGTGATCCAGGATCTTTTGGGCAAAACTTGAAGTTGCTTTTGAAAGAAGTGGTGAGACTGTTTTCCCCCTTTCCTTTTGCTTTTGACTCTTGCATGCTCTCCTGTTCTGGTTGCTGAGATGCTAGGACTTCCAGATCCATTGCAATAGTAATATATGGGTGTTCTTCATGCCCCTGTTTTTGGCTGAAGAATTGAAAAGTCTTTTGAACGTTGATAAAAGTGAATGCATTGTTGACCCTGTTTTTTACTTGAATGAAGATGGTGGTCATACTCCATTTGTCGGGTTTGTCGTTGTTGTGATGGTGGGGAATCCACACAGGAATAAGAAGGCCTGCTTGGTTCATATTCCTAGAGCCTTGGATTGCTGCAGCCCTGACGAAAAGCAGGCAGGTGCCCTCATTGGTAATTGTAGACTTGTCTCCTGCCTTAAAGAACTGCATAAAATGAACAAAACCATCTTTGAACGCTTCTTCAAGCGTCTTTCCTGGTAAGTTTCTTGGCCGTGCTTCAAGGACTATTCCAATGTACTCCTCCAAAACAAGAGCATGGAGAAAATCAACCATAGGTATCATTTTGCTAAATGAGACCTTGTCATTAACAACCTGATAGTCATGTGTAAAAGAAGGGTTCTTCAAGATCAAGATGTCATGAGCCAGAGTACAGAGCATTCTCGCAATCAAGTCCCCACTGTGTCTCTTATCTATCAACCCTCTCTCTGACAATGCTAAGATGGCAGATGGTATGTCAGTCTTGTATATTTGAATGATCTTCTTGATTATATCTTCTGTCTCTGCCCATGGTATGTTTTGATGTGCATCTGATGCTTTTGTCTGGCATTTTTTGAATATTGCACGGGCAGCCGCTTCTGCCAAGAATGGTTTAGATGGGTATCCACCACAGAGATACTGTCAATGTTGTGGAACGGAGAAGAGTGCCCAGAACCAGTAAAACAAAACCTAGGTTAGAGCAAAGGAGGAAAAACCAGGCATCTAGATGGCTTACAAGGGCCAGCCAAATCGAACCATAAACTTCAATGAACATATTTGCTTAGAGGAGTGTGAGCCTTTGGTCACAAGAATTGGGTTCTTACAAGTGTCAAAAGGAAGTTCAACAAAAGGAGTGTTCATATTATCATCACTTTCTTGGGATTTGTTCAATTGGGGGCGGGAAGACCAGGAAGTATGTACACACAGGGTGGAGTCAGACAGTCTTGAATATGTTGACAGGAATAATGCAAAAACTGGTGTGCTCATCATGTATGTGAGGGCCTTGCATAAACACTGATAAGCTGTACGTTTTGGTACATGAGCTTTTACTGTGGTCTTGGTGAGGTGATGGGCTTCATCAAAATAGAACATGATAGCAGGTTCAGAAACAGTCCTTGCAGGTTTGATTTTCTTCGAGACAGGAATAACAAATTTCCGCACTGGAAACAATATCAGCATGGATTCCTTGCCACTGATGATACCCACAAACCTTGAACTTGGATAGTGTTAAATTGGATGCTTTCATCTAGAATGTTTTCCAGCCCTTTCAATAGAAGACTCATGTCAATTGCTGTGGTGTACATTGCAATGCATTCCTTGCTCTGAGAAAGACCAATATGGTCCTGCCATTTTGCAGCAAGTAGTTCGGTCCCACACCCTGATGCAATCTGGAGATTGATCCATTCACTGGCAAAGGAGATGACCTTCAGTAAGAACAGCAGATAACGGTGCTGTACATATAGTGCAGGTTTGAATTTGAATCCACAGAAAAAGTTGACTAGTGATGATCCATTTGCAATATCACCAGGTGGGAAGCCTGCGTCATGAGGTCAGAGTTGATACATCATACAAAGCAATCAAAGCACCTGATTTGTCTTTGTCTGGTCTCAGGATTATTGGAATCGCAAAAACTGACCTAGAGAGCTTGTCCACTAGCCAAGATTTACCAGTACTGGATCCCTGAATTATGGGACAGAAATTCCCATAGGGTTTCTTGGAGGATTTGATGTACATATCATTCATGGCTTCTCGTAACAGATCGTTGCTATTGCCTATGTAGTTTGTCTTCCAAGCATCTCGTACTGCAGTTGATACTTCTGAGAGCATTTCTTCTGAGTATGCAGCAATGAGAGAAGAATTGTCATGGACGCTCACCAAGTGTTGGAACATATACTTCATGAGGAAGTTTCTTGTCTTCCGTTGTGACTGTTGAGAAGGGAGTGAGGAGAGACTGGCACACAACAGAAAGGACAAACTGTAAGCAATTAACTGCTGCATTGCAAGACGTGCTCACAGCTTCCCTGGTGTACTTTTGCAGTCCAGGTCGAGCAAACTGAGAAACACCAAACAATGACCTTGAATAACTGGTATGTCATCTCTGCCAGTGATGAGTTGAGCGAGTTCTTTGAAGATTGGCATATAACAAGCTTCCACTTCTTGTGAAGGTGCTCCAGAAGAAACCAAGGAACACAACTGCTGGTACGTCTGACCCGCTCTAGCTCGACATAATAGCTGTTCAACAGCCTCGACTAGGAATGCTGCCAGCGGGTCAGATTCCTGCCTGTGTTTGGTTGGTCCTTGGTGTTTGAGTGACAGTCTGTGCTTGCCAGACATGTGGCAGTGCAATGTGAGTATTATCATAAAGTTGCCAAATTCTTATATACTATGAGAATGAAAGCACATCAAGTTGAGTCTTCTTCTCATTTATCAAATCTTATCAAATAGATTGCCATTTGATTGCCGATGCATACCCTGAACGCAACAACATAATTTTGGTGCTGATAGATCTTAATTCTGCGTTTGATTCACCACACCAGATAGATGGACATGAGGTATTGAATGCACCCAGCTATTCATATTATCTGCTAACAAGTCATAAATTACCACATGTATGCATGTGGACACAATGAGAGGGCTCTCATGATTACGAGCCCTTAATTTCATCCAGGGAAAGACATACCTGAATACCATTTCGCCTATTCCAAAACTATTGATATATGGGCTGTTGGACCAGTCTGCATGATTAGTCTATGGGAATAGGCTCCAATTTTTGCTGATATTTATGTTGGATATATATATTCACTTGGCACTGAGAGATAAAAAACTGTTTTGTGTGAAATCAAAGCTGCTGGAGATGGCCTCTCAGAACAGATAACTGGGGAAGCCCTTCCACTGAGTAGGGATTCCAATGTACCTTGTAGCCTGTCACTCGGCCGTTTGGGTGAAACATGAGGAATAAAGCTTTTGGATTGGCTCTTGAGAGTTCTTTAGGCCTTCATGCATATTCAGCCTAGGTGTGCTAGCCAGGCAAAACATCGATCAATTTGTAATAAAGTATTTTCTGTTCCCATCTTGTTTGCAGTGCGCAGCATCAAGAATGAGTTATGATATACTGCCTACATCCTTGGTGGATAATCAATGCCGTACATCCAGCTGAATCAGCACATTTCAATAGCACTACAAACATTCTTACATACCTTTTGTTTCCCCATCGTCCCAACCTATCATTAGTAGTCTTGTTTGAAGGTAAAACGAAGCAACAAGAGAGGAAATCAATCATATGGTCCGTTCCCATTGACCATATGCCCTGGAGAGCCAATGGAACTGGCAGTGACAGCCGCATTGAGTCCACACCAATATTCAAATATGAACGTCCAAAGTCATACACCTGATTATCTTGATACCATTGCACTTGAAACCATTGGGCAATGTCCAGATCGCAATCAAGAAACAAACGCTCTCTTACCTTCATCTTCTTCAAAACAGTCAGCTCCCTGACTCATTCAATTGGTCTTTATAGATTAGCGTGGCTTTTTGGCACTGTGAAGAGGAAACTACACTGAGCTCTTCACACTCTGCAGCAGTACTTGAAGAGTTGTGAGGATGCCAATTCCAGGAGGGATTCCTAGCAAAGGGGGTACCATTATACATGCACCATAGCAGCAAGGGGAAGTGGGCAAGGAAGGAGGCGCACAGGTTTAGAGGTTTTAAAAAGCCATAATTGCATACCTTGACAACTGGTAAACAATGACTTCCTTCATTGTGCTATAGCTGGGAAGAGTGGGTTGCACAGAACAGAGAGAGGGCTTTGAGTCAGTGTAAGCTCCAGTATGTGTTGGTGTTTATTCATTGATATGGCTGTCTTAAAGTAAGACAGCCAAAAAAGAGTAAAAAGAATGAGAAAAGTCCTAACCTGAAAAAACAACTGAAAATTGTAAGTTGCCAGAGTAAGCCAAAAACGGTAGGCAAGGGACATACCAAAAAGACCAATAACACACCATGAGAGCAATGGACAAGCCATGCCAGGCCTGCCATCACCAAGTGATGGGCTGCTGATTTCTGGAGTAGTGGC